GTCATTGAAACTACAAGTCACTGTGAGGACAGTCTTCTACTTACATTGTACACGAGTAATGACAGGCAACACCGGGCCATTAGATACAATTAAATCTCCGTGTTGTCATTCTTACTACTTCATTATGTAGGGCTGTCGGGTAGCCTAGTGGTTAAAGCGTTCGCTCCTCACGCCGAAGACCCGGGTTCGATTCCCGACATGGGTACAATGTGTGAAGCCCATTTTTGGTGTCCCCCGCCGTGATATTGCTGGAATATTGCTAAAAAAGCGGCATAAAACCATACTCACTCACTCACTTCATTATGTAAAGGGAACAGTAGAGTTGAACACGTACATGTCCCCGGAATCTTTCTTCCCTCCACGCCTCTCACTCTCTCACTGAAGCCAAAGCTTGATGTTATGATTTCTTCTCGTGGCGAGTACTTTGCATGTGTTATGAAATGGAGCATTGCAAATAGAATTTGAATTTGACATGATTTATTGTACTGTGCATTGTGTTGTTCATACATATCATCTGAACATGGCGCATAATGTACGTGTGAGGTGCAGGGGAAGCATTGGACGTCTTATTCCAGTTTTGTTTCTTCAAAATAAACCCTAACAATTTTATATATCTGCACACGTGAGAATCGTGCGTCACGTGATCGGTTACATTTACATCGAGCAACTTTGTGTCACGTGATCATCAGTGTAGGGAGGCAACAACCAGGAAGTGAATGCCTGTCTACCCCCGGTGCTCGTCCATTTGTAAAGGCAAAATACCAGATCATTGATGAAATATAACTTGAATCTTTTCTTTTCGCGTATATTCTACCCAACACCGAATCGTGTTGAAACAACTCATGGATTTAAGATATCGTCGACATCAATGTAAATTGCACTACGATAACGATAACCGGGGACTTATTGTTGATCTGTCTCGGGATAACCACTGGATATGGTAGACCAAAATAGTAAAGTGATCGTTGAAAACATCTATTAAGATCACAGCAAGCCTAAACCGTAAGTCATGGAGTATCATGACTTTTGACGTCACAGTTAACTTGAAAACAGCGTGTGAAATAGAGAATAGAGCATGGGAGATACCAAGTCCCATCACATTTGTTTTCATTTTAAACACTCGTATTGAAGCCATATCTTAGTCAGACGATTTGGGGGGGGGGGGGGGGGGGGGGGGGGGGGATTGCCAGGTGGAAAATTATGAAACATTTATACATTCAGCAACTATGGTTAGTATAGATACAAAATATATACTCAGCAACAAAGGTTCCTGTGAATCCAGTGTTGAAAAAAAGTTCCTGTTGATCCAGTGTTGAAAACAACTTAATATACAATAGGACATGACATACGACATTTGAACAACAGGCAGACTTCAGTGAAATTAATTTTTTGTTTGGGGTTTAACATTTCATATATTTGCCTTCATTTTGCTGTATTAAAATTACAATGGGTAATATATATAAAATACAGCACTCATCGAGTGTTGAAATATTTGATATCAAAAGACTGGAGGATAACATTCTGTATTGTATGTACATTGCATTTTGAGGTTCTTTTAAGCAAAAACGACCATGCTGTATCACTGACCATACAAAACACACAGATATATCAACACCTGATGTCGGTCTGTCGGTTTATGTATTTCAGCAGGAAACGATTTCATTGTGTGATACAATGGGGCACTGCAAAATAAATTTGACTTTACATGATTCGTTCTACTGTGTACTGTATATTTCCTACATACTATCTGAACATGGCTCAGAACGAACTTCACATATGAGCTGCAGTGGGAGCAGTGTACTAGTTATAATTCAAAACTTGTTTCTCTACATATCCTCTGTCAATGTGATAGCTTACAATCGATCTGAGAAACTGCGTCACAGTGTACGCGTATCACGTGATCTATCACGTGATCACATGCATTCTCCCCGACGGCTTGATCATGTCACGTGATCATCAATACAGGGAGGCGACAACAGGGAAGTAAGACGTTGTCTACCCCGGGTGCTCGTCCATGTTGCAGTATCTGTAAAGGTAAAAACACTAGGTCGCTGTTGAAAAATAACTTGATTCTTCTGTTTTCGCAATCAGTCTACCCAACACGTAAAGGTGATGACACGACTCATAGATTTGAGATATGTTAGACTTGAGGTAAATTGCCCTTCGATAACGAAAGTAACTGCAAAAACCCCGTCCAGCAGGTTGAAGCAGAGACCATAAAGAAGCAGTTTATCATAAACCATCAGCTACGGTCTGGTATGTAACACCCCGACACCCTACTGTTACACCTCCCCCCCCCCCCCCCCCCCCCCCCTGTACCGCTGCAGATGCGCAATAGAAGCACAGACTTTCGCAACTAACCATTCTGGTAGCCAAGTAAACAATATAACATCATATCCGGGGCTAGAGTTCATTCCCTTAGCCGATATTGCTTCAATCACCACCAGCGAAATCCAAAAAAATGACGACTCCTAGCAGATTACAATGATTTTTGTCTCATCTCTCATTCGCACACTACTACCAGGGGTTGGTTTCGGATGACTCTTGGTCTGAAGAGAATAACAGCGATGTTACCGCTAACAAGTCGTCGGTAATATCTCCAAAAAAGTTTCAATCAAAGGAAAAGATCGGAAAAGAAAACACGACGACTGTCTACCAGTAACGGTTTTCGAGGACATGTTTAGAAAAAAGCATAACCGATCCAATATCAAAAGAATTAAACAATTTATTCTATTTTAAAGAATATCAGAAATATGTATTATTTTATGATACAATTGTATAACTATTATAAATAAACAAAGTTACAAAATCTGCAATGAACTCCACATAAAAATACGATTCGGTAAACTCAGGAATTGTACATAAAACTCAAGCAAGACAGATGTTACAGTTAACCATATTCCCGATGTTCACAAAAAATATCTCCAGATAAGTTTCATATCATATAATAAATCCAGGCTAGATTTACTTGCTGATATGCATGTCCACTGGCTGGTGAACATGCTTTACTGTTAGCCAGAAAAAACATTTGCCTTTATATCATGTAAATTCTGTACTAGTAAATAATTCTAATAGTTGCAATGAATCAAAATCTAACATTTACTAAAAGCGTTGTTAAATGAACTTCTGATGTGACCGAGAATGCCCTTCGCAAGTAATCAAATGTTTTCAGTTAATGCCAGTTTGGGGCTTGCGCTTTTCATGTGATTTCCCGGAGGAGATAATCTTTTAAAGGGAGGCTACTCATAAATTCGATTGCAGACGACGGTTGTAATCATCGTTATTTAATAATAGCCGAATAGTTTGAATAGTTCAGCAATACGAATAATTAGGTCTTTCGGGTATAACAGTATAGCTTCAACAAGCATGGCACCAGATAAGTTCATTATACAAATATTTCAATGGATTTTTTTTATCTGTATGATGATTTCATTGTTGTCTTAATACACAAAGTCAGTAGTACTTTGATCATGATTGTGTTTAGACCCACATCATATAGCTTATAATTTATATTAACACGGTATAAAAAGATAAATTAATTGTAGCCATGATTAATAAAGAAAAAATCTACAGAAAATAACATAAATAGTGATCGTCTAAATATGTACAGTTTTCTTCAGTGCGCCATGTGATAGAAACCTAACTGAAACAAAGTTGATAGGTATGTTAAACTTACAAAGAGATGATGAATACAATGGTAAAAATAAAATAAAAACAGATCTTCAAAACTGTAATTCCGATATCACTAAAAATTAGAAACTTTGTAGAATGTTTCAAAAGATATATTTTGATCACAATCACAGACAAAATGCATGTTATGTCGTCTTCGATATGGTAATTTAACTATAGATATATGACTGAAATCATAAATAATAACACCTAAATATTTTTGGTACCAAGCAAAAGGGTAAATCTGACTGAATGTAAAAATATTTATTTCAGGACCGATAATAGAAATAATTTCAGAAACATTCAGATTTAGTTGCATTTCTGGAGTCAAAATCAGAAATTTCGCGACCGCCCCATTTGTTAATGGCACTAAACTAATCATTAACACATCTTCTTTTTATACACCTCGGTAACCAAGGACGTTCACTGAGAATTAGTGGCAGTTATAGAAAAGCACAGTCTGCACTTTTGACGATTTTACATGTGCGCCATTATTGCTCACTCAGACTAAGACAAAGCGTGAACACATTCATCGAATACAATGACAACGATATGCTTCAGAGCACCAACAAGTATCAGTTGTAATGTTGACAATGTTTAGAAATACATGAGCGTATATATATATATTTTAAAATATATCCTTTAGCATAGAAAAAAATGACGATAACGATGACCGCAGTGAACGCGTTTCCGCTGTGATGCGCAGTACAAGCCGTAGCGCTGACGGTTTCGCGGCTGGAGGGATGTCCCTCTGTTTTATGGTCTCTGGCTGAACTATGTGTGATATGTGAATTGACTTCCGAAAACAACGTATCAATAAGTTTGTATATATCACGTATTTGTGAGTTATGCATATGCATATTAGAGTTATGCCGAATATAGAATCGTGCCCCTCTCGAAGGTTCATATTGGCGTATGAACACGAGAACTGTTTCAAACAAGAAGGATAACTCTACCCGCGTCATCGAGGTGGAATATTGCTTAGTGTCGCGTTATACAACTAACAAGCTTTAATATTCAAAGCTCGTTCAGAAAAAAAAGAAGATATACAATCTCATCAACTACTGTAAAAAGATGTTGCTGAGTACAAAGTATGCGCTGGAATAACATAAATGTAATTGTGTGGGAGTGACATTCCTATAAACCTGAATATATATACCTCATTAGGGTAATTTACCACCCAAAATATTTATTACATTACAATTTCCAATCAGTAAACGATAGCTTTCATCGAGAGATTTCCTTTACAAATTTCCACATACAATGTTATTCGTTCGAATCTTATAAATATTTTCGTTGATGATTTGTGGTATACCGTCATCATCTCAATGTTGTGAATACATTTTGAGGAATCGATTTTTTTTCTAGCAACCTATGTTTTCTTGTTCAGTTATCAATTGTTAATGTAATAAAGGTATGTGGTACGGAACTGAAATGACACGGAGGTGTGTATAGGGGTATGTAAGAGAACCAGATAATCACCAAAATATGTATTTATAGCAAATAAATCCCCTTAAAATATGTTACTACTACCAAGCAAATGGTTTTGATATTTATAATCCATTTACATGAAAAAGACATTCTTTAAAAGCATTGTGATTTATCGGCGCGTCTGTAGCCTAGTGGTACACTCAGAGGATACTTAAAACTAAAATGTCACAGAATATTACAACAGCTATCTGATATGCCCAGGTTAACATTATTTACCAGAAACAAAACAGGAAGACAATTTGCTCCCAGGTACATTCCGGAAACCTTTCGGGATTCAAATATTTTTTAATATGTTTCATACTTATTTGAACAAGATGCACCCCACAAATTTTGACAATTTTTGGGGAAGGTTTCCGGAAGGTATCCGGAAAACGGAACCTACTCTTTTGTTGCTGTGTTTGAAAATTACAACTATGGTAGACCTACCCGTTCCTTGAGTATAAAGAAGCATTATGCATTGAATACCAGTTTTCATCACTGGCCTCGAAGGATCCTTGGGCAACGAAATTGATATTTAATGTACAGCCAAGATCATAGGATCACTTCACGAAACGTTTATTATGATTCTGTGAAATGTGTAGATGAGCGTTAATAATGATATGTAACATGTTATATTATTAGACAGTGATATTCAAGGAGAAAAGTAACATAGTCATACCGTCCAAATATGTCAGTGTAACTGTAACCGGCTGCTAGCTTTCTTTTGCAAAAAGAACAAAGCTGATACAATGGCCAAGACAAAGTAAACCATTGCATACAACACAAATCTGTGAGATGCCATTGTAATAACACATTAAGTTCATCGATCAAGATTAAAATAGGAATAAAATTGATTTGATTTATTTGCTGTATTGTTTAAGGTAATTATGATGTCAGCAAGCATTACCTTTTGGAAGGGGTGACTATTAAATTAATAAATGATGGAGACAATATTTAAAATAACAGAACTAGGGCTTATGCCACAACAAAAATATTTTTTGAACAAACTTGTATTGAAGTTATAGCCTAATCAGTTAATTTCTTTCCATCAGAAATGGCCACAGCTAAGAAGCTGACAGACAACCACCTCACCTGTGGCATTTGCACGGAGGTGTTCAGAGACCCTGCCACACTTCAGTGTAATCATACATTCTGTAAGTGCTGTCTTCTGAAATACACCAAAACACAGACTGAAGCAACGCAAGCTAAGTCCATCCGATGTCCCTCCTGTAGACAAATGACGAAGGTTGCCATCCCTGATAGTCCAGTAGAGGAATGGATCAGTCAGCTGAAACCAAGCCACGTCATACAGGGGCTAATGGACGACTTTGGAGAAGAGGCCCGAGGTATACTACCGTAGGATTCTTTATATCCTTTTCATTGCAATTATCTCTAATATACCTACATTGTAACGTTTGACCTAATGAAGGAAAGGGTTTGAAAAGCATTGGTATATATTCCTCTTTCTCTCGTAGACGTTATTACAGTACTTTCAGATATTCATTTTGTGCTATATAGGTATTGATTGCTGCATGGTTTGCAAAAGAGAAGGGGAGATTACTCCTGCTACGTCCTGGTGTGCCACTTGTTCTGACAGCTTCTGTGATAGATGCCTCAAGGTACACAGGAATATGTCATTGTCTAGTGATCACGAAGTGGTAGATTTATCTAAGAAGGGCCAAGGAAAATGCAAACGACATTTCATGTGTAAAATCCACAGAGACAAACAGATAGAGCTCTTTTGTAAAGACTGTACTATTCCAATTTGTACTTTATGCTGCAGCATAAACCACAGGAAATGTGATGATGTTGTTACCATAGATAGTATGGCCACACTAGTGAAAGAACACATGACCAAAGAAACAATGAAGCTGAAGGACAAAATGAAACTCAAAACTGACAATATTTCATCTGCAGAATCTTCAATAAAAAAGATAACGGAAAATGCCAGTTCTGTTAGATGTGAAATACAAAAAGTTCGCAGGGAAGCTGTGCATTATCTTATGAGGAAAGAACAACTCCTACTCGACCAGGTTGACAGATTCGAGGAGGACAATGTTCAAAACTGGAACAGGTTCATCCAATCAGAGGAGATTGACCTTCAGATGTACCAACAACAGATAAAGATCACAACCAATGCTGTTACATCAGACTGCGATGAAGATATGTATGCCCTATATAAGCAAGCAGATATTACATCTACAGATCAAATTAAAATATTGAAAAAGGATGTAAAGAGACCGACCCGACACAGGATCTCATTCAGACAGAATGAGGAAATATTTTTGACACTGAATAACCTAAACCTTGGTGATGTTAAGAATCGTTCGGGCATATTTAATTTTTCCTTTTTGTTTAAAAGGTGATCACCTGCTTGACAGAGCTGTTAGAATCTACATCACAACTTCAGTACGTTAGGCATCTGCTAAACTGGTGCCTTTTACTATTCTACATTTTACTTCTCTGGAGTATAACGAATAAGACGTTAAATATTTAATTGAGTCACTTTCTGTGCACATCAGATTTCATGAAGATGAGAAGATCAAACTATTTTGTAAAGATTGCAAGATGGGAATTTACACTGTGTGTCGTAGTATCAAAACGTGCTAACCATTGACACCATGACGCGTCATAGCAGACTTAATGTCACATTGTGATACTTCGACCTTTTTCTTAAATGTTCTATACGTTTAAGTTATTTGTGTTGAAAACCGGAAGACGTGTCAACTGTAGTTTGTTTTGTGGCTGTGCTTCTTTGTCAATCAGCCAAATGTTACCCAACCATTAATTCCCTTTCCATAGCTTCCCGTCGTGTATTTATCGTTTCATTGTATATATGTTGTGTACTTAATGTTCTGGTACAGTGTCGTGGTACAGGTATTATCCTCATTGTGTATTTGTCGTTTACTGTGTATATGTTGTGTATTAATGTTCGGGCACTGTGTTACATGTTAGGTATGTAATGAGTTTATGGATGTGGCGTCCACAGATGAAGACAGTGAGGACAAGAGACCAGTATCATCCAGCGCTCTCTTGACACGTGACAGACAAATTGAAGAGCTAAGTTATAGGAGGTCTCCTCCCTTGCAAAAAGTTTACTGTGTCAGAGTTATTAAGTCACGTGTGTGATGTTGCAAGATAGACTGTGACAGACCATGTTTGACTCCTGTTGACATAATGGAGATAAAAGTGACACTACTTACACAGGTGTGGCAAGGAAGCAATTTTACATTCATGTTACGAGAAGTACCAATGTGATAGTCAGGGAAGGGCAGTAACATTGTTCATGTGACCAGTTAAGACAAAACTCCTACGCTCCCACAGGAGACAAAACTCAGCTCAGGAGAAATCATGTATGTTGACAGCAGCGCCCACAAGGTGATTCAAGAATCGGGGCAGTTTGTCAGAGATGTTTTCACAAATGATGGCACAGAGAATCCTCGCGGTATCTCCCTAGATGAACAAGATCTGCTGTATGCCAGCAGCAATCAGTGTCTGAAGGTATTTAGAGTTGAATAGTAGATTAATGAATCATATAATTGACTGGTGGAAGATGAAAACTACTGTATGCAAAACCTGCTTGTGAACCATACAGATTGTATACAAGACTTTGTGACAGATTAAGCGCAAGTATCTATGAGAAATCACAGGAGGTATACAATTGTGTAAAAATAAAAATTACGAAAATAGTTGCAGATCTATAGCGTATCAGTAAGGGATTGTAATATAAGGTTGATCGTAACAGTAATGATTGACGCGGTCGAAGCACGCTCGCAACCTGATATCGATATATTTATGTAATTGTTGCAATTTGGCTGTCATCGATGTATACGCAGTTCCATGTACGCGAGTGGAGGAGTGAGTTTGGTATAACGCTTCTTTGAGTAGTATTACCGCAATGTCACAGCATATCAGCTTCATATAGGAGGAACGCCCTAAGCGATACAGGTCGTTTGGCAGTTTGTTGCCAATGAACGTGTTCAGCGCTGACGAAACAAAAATCATAACTAGTACTAATCGGGGATTTGATCTGACTTAACACGGGGTTGTGGCACGCCTAATGGACATAATCGCATAAGCTTATGAATAAATAAATTACGAATGGTACGAACCCCTTTCTCTTTTGCATTATTTAATTGTTGTTTTGAGCGACATGGCTCATTGGCGTTGATAGAACTACTATACTGTTCACGATCAAAGAACCATTAAACCCAAGTCATTTACACATATCCTTAAAAGGATTTTGAAGAGGTATTCCCCTCAGACTTCGATTTTGTTATCTAACGAATACATAAATGATGCCAGTACTTCACATTGTCTATATTTGTTTTATTATTAGACTAAACTGTCAGTCTAAAACTAGGATGTGAAAGATCTATCTCGAGTTTGTTTTTTATTTAAAAAAACAACCGAAAATATTATCGGGACAGATCAATGACGAAGGAGTTGTTTGTTTTGTTATTTTTAACGCTGCATTCAGCAATATTTCAGCTGTATACACATATCATAGTTCAAAAATGCGTCATATGATATATGACGTTGATATACGCCGGCTTTCATTCACAAGTTTTAGTTGATAAACATTATGTATTAAGCGCTAAGACTACGTTCGTGTTCCACCCGAAGTCTATAATCAGTCGGTGTTGCCTTTATTCCCAAGATCCATTTTTTAAGCGTTATGTGCTAATCGTTAAGACTAAATGTCTGGCGAGAGAAATAAACATTACTCCATGATAACAAGCTCTCCGAGAAAACCTTATTTATGTGATTTTAGTCATTTCTGCATACTCATGTCTTTCAAAATTGCGAGGTAATCTCTAAATTCAGATAGGTATTGTGTAGGTATTGTTTAACTTAGTTATAATTGAACATGCGACCATATCATGACCTCTAAAAACATCAGTACGATGGTATAAATAACGGCCTTTATTCGTGGTACCTCATTGATCAGTTACACCGAAGAAAGACTGGCCACTAATAGATGCTCCTCTTGGTTGTTTTAAGATAAGACATGTTCACTTCATATATATTGTATGTTCTTTCACTATATTCCTTTTTATCTGTTTTCTATTGCCTTCTATGTGCTTAGGTCCTTTGAATATAATCAACATTTTAAATTAGGCATTATTGATTAAGGTAACAAGTGAAGTTATTATTATAGTTAGGTTAGATCATGTAGCACTAGACAATAAAACAATATGGTGTATATTAAAATAGTGTAAAATATAATATAATAACGTTCATACATTGGTTCAGCAAATTAAAGTTACACATAATCGGGCTCGTGAAAGCAAAGTAATTCTTGTGCACCTGTTGTCAATCTTATATATTTTTGAATTTTTGCAATGAAATGTAAATGAATGTATCCTTTAAAAAATTACTGTGTGTGTTCAAATCATATGATTCAAACTACCATGGATGTAATTAATGTTTAAACAGCCTACTTATGCAGCGATGTAACCATGCTGTACACGCAAAACCCGTGAGCGCACATAACACTTGTTCTTTTATTCATTTGCTCATGTATTGCTATATTTTCATTATTCTTAAGGTCTTTATATGTATACATTGTACACATTCAATGACATGCCGTTCGGCATATGACTTTTGGTTTTTAACGGTAGTTTGATATAAAAACATGTGGTCATATTATGTAACAAGAAGATTGAAATTTTATATTAATATTTGTGTATTCTTATTATTCGGTTTAAGTTATATTCTGTAAGGTTGGATTAAAGTAAAGCTTATCATTACGTTCTTCATAAATATCAAAGATCATGTATGATTATGTTAGTAATTGGTAAGATATTTATTAATATATGTGTATTCTTATTATTCGGTTTAAGTTATCTTCTGCTGGATGTATTAAAGTGAAGCTTATCATTACGTTATTCATAAATATCTAAGATAATGTGAGATTATTTTAGTAATTGGTTACACATGTAGTACGTGTCTTTCCGAAGAGTTATCTTATTTACTTACAATACAGAATCCTTAATTGCGCTAGATGACATGTTTTTTATTTTCAACCAAATGTAAATTGTCTTCGTTTCATTTGTTTAAAAATGCAATTGTTTATTGTACGATACATTGTCAGTAAGATTTATACTGTAACTGTTTCATTCATAATTTTAATATTTTAATTGTTTTAGGTTGTACTTTGCTTATGTTTTATTGTGATATGTAAATGATTGATGATATACACCGAATAAAGACTGGCCACTAAAAGATGCTTCTGTTGGTTGTTTTAAGGTGTGCAGTCCCTCGCTAATTCCCTGACAACAAATTCTAGGTATTATAATCAGCCTAGACCAAACATAAACCTTTAAAGGTTATTATATAGTTCATAACGTTTATTACCTCTTCTTTATGTCCATATATCTCTTGAACCTCGGTGCATAGTTTGAAATGAAATGTCCACCGATACCACCTATGCCTCGTGGACAGTTGGTACCAGAACAATATATGTGGTCGCAAGTACGGGGCCATATATAAAGCATATAAAGCAGCAGATGAAGCAATTTAAGGGGTAACCTAATAACAACATATGTCATTGTATGACTGATTTCGCTTTCTATCATTCTATGTATGTCACTTTGTATTAAAAAAATAATAAGTCTTTTGTTATAAAAATGAATATAATATAAAATAAGTATATATATAAATATAAATACACATATTGATAACCCTGTTTATGTCAGATGACAATCTCAATATTACCATTAACGCCATACCTTACACCGTTTGTACGTGGTATACATCTGAAACATGTAATATTCATAATTCTGCATGTTGTCTTCATATGTTGTCCAGTGATTGGAATCACAAACATGACAAACATTTAACAACGTATTGGGTACGTCGTCATGGCGTTAGGCATGCGTCTTTGGCGTCATTTGCGTCACACCGTGTTAAATAATGAATGGAGGTTCATTGTCAACTTTGCAAATGTCCGAGCCATGCTTGGGCAGAGCTAGCAGTAAACCACAACCGTTTAAACCGATATATTGTGGCCCAGAGATGATGTGAGCACAGGCCGTTGCTTAAATATCTCTAATTCTATCATATCACACAAGCGGCAGAAATACACTATCCTTTGTCTATTTTTAATTATTTGATTAAGCTACTCGTCTAAGACTAAGATATGGATACTCGATCTCCAGTGTTGCGTTTCAGGAACAGGAAATATTAATGAGAGGGATATGAATTAGCGGGAGGAGGTTGATATTTTCAATTTCAAAACTAAACTGGATATTCGTTCGTTTATTGTTTAACGGCCCAGCCAATCCAGTATTATGACCAACGACCCAAAGCCAAAGCACCAACTCGGACCATCGAATCCATTACATCACCTCGAATCCAATAAGGGTTCGCATTAGGAGTGATTTGGAACAGTCCATGTTGAATCTACTCAAACGCAACGAATGCATGGAAAATGCATGCAAATGTTTACTTCCATGATTTCTTACTCACGCATTGCCGTGTAGCATAAAAGAATTAAGGAAAAGTGTTGTTTCGAAAACAGAAGTGTACATGAAACTGTACTTTACGGAAGTGCACAAATGGCGTGATACGAGGGAGGTCATGGAAATCACATCGATAAGTTGCTGATGATCTCAATAAATCAATTAGTAAGCGTTAATTGTGATGGAATTTGCTTAGGCAAACTGTCCATGTGTAAATGCGTCACAATCGTGGTAAATGTAAATTTACAACCGCCTGATAACACTCTTAGCGTTAAAGGCTACATTACGCTCATCATCGCACAGGCGTTTGAGTTATCGAATAGTACGTCATCGTGTTTGCAATTTACAGAATTAAAAGGTGGCCAGCCAGTTTCAAGATGACTGCTGAGGACACATGTCTATTTTTTGTGTGTTTTTTAACGCCTCACTTGGCAATATTAAAAGAAGTAAGACGGCGGTCTGTAAATAAGTCTGGACCAGATAATCGAGTGATTGATATCATGAGCATCGGCCCACGCAATTGGAATATGCTGACATCCATCATCCAAGTCAGCGAGCCTGACCACCTAGTCCTGTACGTGGTACGCATGGGTTGCTGGGGACCAATTCTAACCCGGAATCCCAACGTTTACGAACGTACTTGGCACGGCGTCATAGTGTTAGGCAGTTGCATCATTGGCGTCACACCGTGTCCATTGACAAATAGAGGTTCCTTCTCGACTATTCATATGGATGAGCCATACCAGCTGCGTCACATAGACAGTGAAACTGGTATGGTGGTTGTTGGCATCACCTACAGCTCTAGAACAGACCTCATTCGCCTTGATGACGGTCTCACAGATGCTCGTTACCGTGAGTTTGCGCTCAGTCGTGG